GATATAGTCCTAATAATGAAAAAACCTCTTGCTGTGTCATTTTGAGTGTGACTGAAATTTATTTGCTAAATATATTTTAGCAGCCATAGAATTTCATGTGACTATCCCAATTACTTAAGTAGCTATGACGGCTAAAATCAAGAAATGCAAATCTTCAGCCTTCCTCTACATAATTTAAGGTGTGTAACACAAAAGATATTCATTGCAGGGAGGTGAAATTGTGCACACTTTCATTAAACAGACAAATATTCTACAAAAACAGCCCTTTTTGAACAACTGCATACCATCTCTTTGCCGTCACTGTTTTGGTGGATTATTGTCTCCACTTTGCATTTTTTAGATTCACAAGAAATGATTTGCTGATCAGGCAAATCGCTCATCTAAAGAGAAGCCATGGCTCTCGTGTTCTAATAGCAGGGTTTGCTGCAAACTGTCGATTTATTTTAACTCTAAGCTTAAATCCGAAAACTGTTCTGAGCGCTAAAAAAAGAAACCGACCTCACCGTCACCTCGCAGTATGGCCCTGAAGTCCAAACATCTACATCCTACTTTCTGTCAGCACAGACATACCCTCTGAGGAAGTCGATAACCCACGCTCAGTTTATTTCCACACCTGGAAGCTGCTGGAGTCACGGAGATATCAACTGTGGAAGTCATGACAACCGCGGGGGTTGTCATGACAAATAGAAGGCATCAGTATTCAGTAGTGTAGCTGCTCCATCATCACCAGTCACCATTCAGTGTTAGTAACATATTACATAAATCTTTGTTTTCACATGTTACTAATACATTTTTGTTTGGGAATAATACAGTAATACTTTTTTTTGTTGTTGTTGCTGTTGTTTCCCCTGAGCTAGTAATAAATATTTAATTTTTGTTTTACCTTAAATGCCTTTGGAGCTCCTCCCTTTGTGTAAGTAGGCTTGTTGTAGACTGTTGGTTGTAGTTGCTGGACCTTTTGAGTTCGGCTGCTGCTTTTCTAGATTCCTTTATCATATTTTGACCTCCACAAAGTGTTTTTATTATGACCTGTCCTAAACTTATTAAACAAATACCATCTATATACTAATCTATATTGCAGTATACTATTATACTACCATCTATAACTCAAATAGACTCACCAGCAAC